TTTTTTTTTTTTTTTTCAAATGTAAAATTGACTATCAGAAGTAGGTAATTCTCACTTCTCCAAAATGGACTTATTGAGAAGTGATTTTTTAAAGAAGTCTATTTAATATAAACAACCAAACAACTTAAAAAAATTCCAAATGGACTTCCAAGTCTAAGATTCCATTACAAAAATATTATCAAACAAGCTCTAAAGCAATGAAAAATCCACCCAACCACATTGCACAAATTAGTGATCAGATCAACACAATAAAATCGACAACGCAGTTTCTCAATCATCTGCTATATCCTGATTTATGTGGCGAACGAGTACTGGGATAGTGATATCTGGTGCACTGAGGTGCGGTAGATGGCCTTCGGTTGGGATCAACTCCACCACCGACTTACCACCGAAGTTCCGGTGGAGATACTCAGCCACAGCCACGGGCACCAGCTTGTCCTTGGAGCTCTGGATGATGTGGCAGGGGATGACGACGAGGCCCAAGTAAGGCCTCAGGTCATAGCCGGATATCATACGACAAATACTCAAGGCAATGTCGGGCCTCATGTTGAAGAGTGTGCGACTGAACTCCTGCATGGCCTCCGACTCCAAGTCCCCGCCCACCACTATCGGTGCATAACCCGTCATCATCGTCTGGAAGTTCTCTTCCATGGCACCGTACAGTTGGTTGACATCTTCTTCCTCAAACCCTCCATAGTAATCATCTGCGTTTGCTACCCTAATCAAAAGTACATAATGTTTTTCAAGAAAAAAAAAAAAAAAGATGAGTCCAAGAATCAAAGAGGTAGTTTTATGTTGAAAGTGAAGATCAATGGGAGTTACTTTAGCTTGTCAAAATCGATGCGCGAAATCAGAGAGGTATGAAATGAATCCAAAGTGTCTCGGGTAGAAGACAGTTGGCCAAAACAACAACGTTCAATGTTATAAAATGCGTTGTTCCATATACAATATCATAAAACTAATAACAAATGTATATTAAATTGACTGATCTCCTACAAATAGAACGAATGGAACATAAAAATAAAAATAATAAATCATTTGTGTTACCCAAATGTGTCACCATGTCGTATTTATAGGTTTTCCAGTTCAGCCGGAGAAAGGCAACAGTCATCTACCAGTTAAGGCATGTAACAAAACCCACTTACGGCTATTATATTGGGCATAAGGTCAGCCCTTTTTTAGGTATTAATACACTACTACTCAGGTGTTAACACACCACCTGAAACAGTCCAAACGTCTAGGTTCAAAGTACCTAGAGAGGTCTCACTCAGGTTGGGTAAAAAACTCCGAGTCCAAATCCAACTTGAATTATAATTCAATTTTGGCCACAATTGCAAATAAATTTGTAGAAAAAATATATATAGTGGCTAGACCCAAGGCTCAAGCTTTGCACAAAGCCTAATACTGGCCCAACTAAGGCCGTCCAAGTCCAACCAACAGTCTAATTTCCAAGGCCCACGACCCAAGTCCCAATTCCCAGGCCAAGCCCAAGCTCATGCTCAAGTTCGAGCCTGAGCTCGAGCCGTGTTGAGCCAAGTCGAGCGGCGGGTAGGTGAACAGACGTGCGCGCGCGTGGCTAAAACCAACATCAACACTTACTTTGTTGTTGTTGTGACTTCTCCAACTTTCTTTATTATAATAAAGATATTGAATCTCATTTAAAGTCCAATGTCTGTAGGACTTTTGACTATTCAAATCCCATAACCATAGTTTTACCTTTCTATTTATGGCTAATTTTAATAATTTATTTTTCAATCACGGAAAATTAGTTTTGAGAAAATAAATATATCACGAGTATTTAGTCGGAACGTAATTTTTTTATGCAATAATGCAGCCCGAATTAAATATTTAGCCATAAAATATTCAGTCAAAATCGGATCAAACTCAAGTTTTATAATTGGTTTTTCCAACAATTCCCTACATTAGTGGAAATCATATGTATACATATATGTAGAGTCTTGTGCTCAATCCTCACTAGACTCTATTGTATCAGAAAATGTACATTGTGGCTTTGAAACTTTCTTAGTAAACACCATTGGATGTACTGGTGGCTTAGTGGACGTAGTGCTTTGAACTATCCCTCCATAGTGTACACCAAGACAATCATATTCACACGATAAAGCCTTAACTCCATTATGTTCAATTGTTGTATCCATTTTGGCTATGGACAAACTTTGGATTCATAATAGGATGATTGGATATAAAAAATTTTGGTTTTGTTTAAATTTTTTTGTTTGGTTTGGTTAGTTTTCAAAAAGTTGGTACAGTTAATTGTTAATGGATATATTAAAATAATATTTAAAATAAAATGATTAAAATTGATTTGATGTAAAATAGGATAGAATATTTGAAGTGATGGTTAGTCAAAATTATGTGAGTGGATGAATAGTGAAATAAAGTGATGTGGTGTGCAAGAATGATTGATTGATATTATTTAATTATATTGATAATATTGATGATAGTGAGCTTGAATTAAAGTTGAGTTAAAAAAAGTGGTTGAGTTAAAAATGTTTGGATTTTTTTGAAAAAATTTATATCCAAGCATGCTTAAGTATCTACATTTGAAGCAACCCTCATTCACACTTATATATGTGACCTCCCTATGAAGAGTATCCTATATTACTCCACCTTTAAACGGTTAGGGATTTATCAAAAGTCCTGATTACTTACTCTCACCACAATCAACATGTAATTTTGCATTTGGATTGCTTTTAGGTGATAGCTTTGGACATTCTTAAGTTTCAAGTGCTCAGCTGAATTTTCATAGCTTTGTTTTCCTCTTGAAACAAGTTCATGGGATCTCCATTCAACAAGGTATGATTTCCACTATGATCATTCTTTTCATTGTGAATTTTTAGTCTCATTTCTCTAGCATTATTTCCAATTGATCTCTATTTATTCCTTTAATGGAAAGATCAACCAAATTTTCTTTAGACCTTACATAGTTAATGAAAATAATATCATTTGTGATCAATTGACGAACAATTATGTCTATGGCGAAAATGTCTAGACTTATTTTTGTGATGACTAACATATACATGCTCATTTTTGGGCCTATGGTTTGTAATTGTATGTCTATATGATATATACATACAATTACAAACGTATTTGATGTGCTCTTAACATAAACACATTTGTCACATTCTCTGATTTTGAAACTATTTAACAACATTACATCATCAAATTTCAAATGTCATTGTTTCGGAGCTTGTTTCAGTCCGTACAAGGATTTGATCAACTTGCACATATTTTTCTCTTGTCCATGTGCTACAAAACCTTCGGGTTGTTCCATGTATATATCTTCTTCGAATTCACCATTCAAGAATGTCGTCTTGACATCCATTTGGTGAATCTCAAGATTGTGCAAAACAACTATCGAGAGAAGCACCCTTATTGACGCTATATGTGTAACATGTGAATACGTATAAAAAAAAGTCGTACCTTTTTTTTTTTTGTTTAAAACATTTGACCACCAATCGTGCTTTAAACTTATTAATTGTTCCATCAGCTTTGTATTTTCCGGTACAGAACCACTAGCAGTTTCACAAGCTCTTTTGTTACAACTAGATTCTGCCCTTACCTTCAGAGGAAAATATTCTAAAAAAATATAACACTCATTGATTCAATTGTGGTACCAACTGATACCTTTGGATTTTATGATTTATGAACTAGAAATCTATATACAATACTGTTGTATGCATATCCAATATAATTACAATCGACCGTCTTTGGTCTGATTCACATTTGTTTGTATTCAAGAACCGAAACCTTAGCTAAACACTCCTACACTTTCAGGTATTTATAACACAACTTACGGTTTTTCCACATTTCATAAGATGTATCACTTTTTCCATTTAGGTGATATTTTATTCAGAATATGTTTTGCTGTTAAAACAGTTTCCCCCATATATGTTGGGGCAATCTTGAGTTTATCAGCATGGAATTTTTCTTTTTATTTTAAGGTTCGATTCTTGTGTTCAACAACACCATTCGACTGTGGACAATAGAGGGCCGTCGTTTGAATAATTATACCATATTCAGAACATATATGTCTTAAATGAGCTATATGCTTCCCACCCCTATCACTTTGGATTATTTTAATCTTTTTGCCGAGTTTATTTTTAAATTCGGTCTTAAAGTTTTTAAACGCTTCCACAACCTCGTCTTTGCTTTTTAGTAAATATTAGTAACAAAACCTTTTGCAATCATCGATTAAAGTTATAAAATAAATTTTACCCGTTCTTGTTTGTGCAATATTCAAATCACATAAATAGTATGGATCAAGCCCAACGATTCAGTACTTCTTTCCACCGAATGAAAAGAGCCATTTTGGCTTCAAAACAAATTTCACATTTTTTTTTTATGTGATTCAATTTTAGAATTTAAAATTAACTATAAATTCATCAACCGTTTAACTGCATTTAGATTCACATCTAATCTAATATGTCATAAATCAGAGCACTCAACGATATAAACATAAGTAGACTTTTTCGTTATCAATAGAAACGGTTACATAACTCACGACCATTATATTCATTTTGACTAATCCCTTGCCATGATAGCCACGACCAAGAAAATTTCCAATCTTACTAAGTACGAACTTCTTAGCACTAAACACTAGCCTAAATCCATGCTTTGCAAGAAGAGATCCAGAGACCAAGTTTTTGCAGATGTGTGGGACATGCAGAAGATCCTTAAGCTTCATCTCCTTTCTAAAAGTTAGCTTCAGCACCACGGTGCCAACTCAAGCCACATCAAACGAGGGGGAGTTGGCCATGTGGAGTTTCCGACTAGCAAAAGAAGTGTAGTCAGAACACAACTCATTGTCGGAACAAACATGGCGAGTGACACCAGTATCAATGTACCACTCCCTTGGGTTATCCACAATGTTTGCTTCAATAGCCAACATATCGAAGTCGGTTATTTCACCCAGCACAAGGCCGTGTTCAACAATGAGGGCACTCGGTTGTGCTCTCTTTGGCCCAGCCTTCGTAGGCATCTTGCAGTCCTTAGCCATATGATTCGACTTTCTATGGTTGTAGCAGTTGTCGATAAACTTCCAAACATTGGCAGACTGCTTCCCCTAATTGTTAAGGAGTTTCCTCTTACTCAATTTGCCTTGTTCTACCAAGTTAGCACGAACCTTCATCACCGGGGCTTTCCTTGAGGACTTACCGTTGTCCTCTTCAATGTGAAGATAAACCACCAGGTCCTTAAGACTCATATCCTTCCTCTTATACTTGAGGTAGTTCTTGAAGAACTTCCAACCTGACGACAACTTCTCGATCAGAGCCGCAAGTTAAAATGACTCGCACAAAGTCATTCCCTCAGCATGGATGTCATGCAAGATGAGTTATAACTCTTGCACTTGAGACACGACGGTCATCGAGTCGACCATCTTGAGGTCAAGAAACTTGTCGAAGACGATTTCTTCGCCCCGACATCCTCTCTTGTATTTCTTCTCTAAGGCAACCAAAGCTCATTGGCAGAACCGATCAAGTTGTATACATTGTACAACTCATTACTCAGTCTGTTCAGGACATAATTTCGACAATGATAATCACCTTGTCCCCAAGCATCATACATAGCGCATAGTTCAACATATGTTTCATTTTCAACCACAACTGAGGGGTCGTCCTTAAGATACTTCACCAAACCCAAGGTGGTTATGTAGAATTGCATCTTCTGCTGCCACCTCTTAAAGTTAAGCCCATTTCATTTTCAGCGGTTGAGGCGTGGATACCAGGTACATGATGATGATGAAAAACAACAGCGTTAATCGGCTGCTGCTGCTGTATGGTTTGCTGAGTTTGCGAACCTTCTCCGGTGGATGCCATAAGTTCAGTAGGTACGTGCTATTTATCTTGCAGTGGTTGTCGGTTACACGGAAACCTATAAACTAAAGTTGATGTTTTCAGTTTTTACAATTTAAGCTATAAAACAGATAAAAAAGTGCGACTTAAGTGCCAATAGATTAAATCTGAGGCGATTGTAATCTTTCCGCAAGACAATTACGTCCTGTGTAGTGCTAACGGGTGCGTGCATCTTGTCCCCGAAGATATAACGATTGGCGTCTCGAAGGCTGTAGTTTTGTTGTTCCTGCGCCCTCTCCAACTCTCTTTATTATAATAAAGAGTTGATATCATATAAGAGTTCAATGGGGGAAAAACTTTTGACCCTCGAGTCCTATAATCATCATTTCACGTGACCATTTATGGCTAACTTTAATCTTTTATTTCTCGCTCACCGAAATTTAGTTTTGAGAAAATAAATATATCACGAGTATCTACTCGCAAAGTAGAATTTTTCTACATAATTTAATTTAACCCCAATAAAATATTTTGCCATAAAAGATTCAGTCAAAACCAGGTCAAACTCAAGTTTAATAACTGATTTTTCCAACAATTCGTTAACTAAATCAAGTAATGTCAATGCTGTTGTTTGATATATTGACTAGCTAATTCATATAAATCAACAGTATTTACTCTACTCGTGTTATTTATCTCTATTTTTTAGTCTTTTCTTCCTTCATATGCTTATTTATTTATTTGTTTTGATTTTTTTTATGCCACCCATATCTATAATTATATTAAAAGAATAATCATTTAGAAGTTTCCCGCCAATTTTATTTACATTATCCGCCAATTATCTAGATAAATTCACCCGTCAATTTCATTAAAAGTGTCCTAAAAAATAGTAAGTGTCCAACAATTTTGAATAAGGAAACAAATCGACTGATTTTTAGGGTAGAAATTTGTTATTCTCTTTTCTTTTTCTTGGTATCTTTTCTGCCTTTAAAATAATTTCCAATTCCAATAAAGTTTATCTCTAACATAAATCTACACGAGTTTATCCCTCTCATCTGTTACAAAATCCAGTACACGTCTGCAATTTAAAAAATCTCATCCGTTCTCTCACAAGTTAAAAATCTCATCCTTTATCGACATATTTAAAAAAAAATAAAAAATATTATCTCTTATCTATACATATTTAAAAAAAATTCTCTTACTAATATTTTTACAAATATTATAAACTAGCAATATATCCTTGATAACAACATAAAAAGTATTATAATAATAATTTTAAAATTATGTGTAATCAAATTTTGTTAGATGAAAATAATGCCATAAATTCCGTATCATCTGAATGTCTTTTTTAAATTAGGCTTATAATATTTTAGATACTTTAAACAAATTGGTTAGACATTTTTTTTTTACATATTCGTCTATATATACATATATATATATATACACACATTACCTAATTGATATTAAATTTAAATATATGTATACATGTTTTCTTTACAAAATAGTCTAGAAAATTCTTTTTTGCACAATATTAAATTCAAATATTTTTAGATATGTTTTCTTTCTAAAATTGTTTAGAAAAGTTGTAGGTGACTTCACATCTTTCAAAAATAATATAAAATTTTTTTAATACTTTTCCATATACTAATATAATATTTTAGGTATCTTAATATTAAACATCCAAATTTTATATTCTCTTATACAAAATAATGTAAATTTTATATTCTCTTATACAACATAATTTTATATTGTTTGACCCCGAATCTTCAATTTATAATTATTAAGTATTGTTTATCCTCTTCTTTAATTTATAATTATTTTTTTTTCCTCTTTTTAAGTAGGATCAATAGTAGTTTCCACTTTCGCTATTGAGTGACTCAAACTCAAGGTCTATTTATAATATTGTTGATTTAATATTGTTTCCGTGCATCGCACGGGGTAGACACTAGTATATATATATATATTGCATTTCATTTTTAGGAGTAGAAGAAGATTATATTCAAATAGTTTTAACTAATGAAGTTACGTACCTTGGGCAAGCGGATATCATGACGATCTTCCGAAAGAGGTCCGGGCGGAAAATGGATGAGACAGCGCCCACCATAGAGGAGAGAGAGTGTCCGACGAAGATGCATTTGGTGACGTGGAACTCCTCCAAGATAGCGATGAGGTCTTGGGAATGGCCTTCCAAGCTGGAGTAGCGCTCGAAATCGTAGAGGTTGGGGTCGGTGGTGCCTGCCCCCATGTTGTCGTACAGCAATACCCTGTAATCGTCGGTCAGGTGCGGTACAAGGTACTTCCACACCGACTGGTCAGTCCCGAACCCGTGCCCGAGCACTACCGTGGTCTCGCCCGACCCTAAAACCGTCACGTTGTGTGCTGACCCGACGGTGCTCATCTTTTCCTCTTTTGGAGTTCTATTTTGTTTGTGTGCTAGCTTTTATTTTGGATGAGAGAGCCTAGCCTAATTTTAGGAAATGGGGCGGCATATGAATATGATATTAGTGATTACTTACCTGGTTGGGAATTTACGATGAATATGATATTAGTGTTGACTTCATTCCTTACCTGGTTGGGAATCGGGGAGATTGGTGTTGGTTGCTTACTGAGAAGCAAACACTTCTGTCCGATTTACTATTGTTATTATTTTTTTAAATATTTTATTTATTATTATTGGTCTTGGCACGTTCATATCTATATATGGTTTTAATTTTATCATGCATAACCAAATAATTAATTAACTTTTTATTAGAAGTGGGAGAAAAAGAGTGCGCTTCTATCATATGCAGCGCATCATAAGAGAGTGAGTTTAGGTGCACTTTAGTGAAATTCTATCTCAAAATCAATTGGTGATGGGCGGAGTAGTCCACTAAACTTGTATGCTAGACTCATTTTTCTTATAGAATCAACATGAGACAACTGATCACAAGTAATATTCAGCACTTTTTAATTGTATTTTAAAGTAATAAATATATATATATCTTTATAATATAAATGTATGTAATATTTACATGAAAAAGTAAATTTTTTTTTTTTCTTTTGTAGTAAGGGTATTTTAAAATTACAATATATGGTCCGTGACTGTGTATACAAATTACAATCAGAGCAAGCCGCCGAACGCCGGAACCGCCTCTCAATAAAAAATTGAACAAGCTAATACGCTACCGGTTCGAGAGGGCCACCACGATGTGGCAGAAGACCGGGAGCACGACTCGGCGCCCCACTGGGAGGATGCCAACGACGAGCTCTCCTTCTATATTTTCACTGTTCAAATTAGGAGGGTTTTTTTGAGTTTGAAATTTTTGATTATCATTGTTTACCTGTTAAATCAAGCTAAAAGTACATATAACATTGTCAATGCTTTAAAATTCGGTCTGGTTTTCTTAATCTCTTAATTTATAAATGAAAACGTAGAAAATAATTAATTACTTATTGCTGCATTTTATGTGGGCGGTGGAATCTTGTGATCCAGTTTATATAAGTAGGCGTCTGTTTGGATAATATATATAAAGAGGCTTGTTGAACTAGTTTTATAGTTTCGGTGCTCAATTGGTGCGTAGCATAACATAAGTTATCTTTGAGGCGTGATCCTAATTGTACGGAATATTTAATCCAAAATGATTTTGTATTAGACTTTATTAATACGAATCTCTCGTGCAATGTATATTGCTAAAATTTAAATTTTTTCATTAAATAATATTTATAAACTAAAAATATACAATCTATGTAATACAATTTACCTATATTAATTTAATAAAAATATTATATAAAATTTAAATTATGAAAAAATACATAAAAATATCTATTTAAAATTAATATTCAACACGTCCGGTACATATAACTGACAGTAATTCACATTATATTCGTTTCAAAATAAGTGTCATCAAAATTTTTATTCAGAAGTTCGATTTGACTATAATGTGATTCCATTAAATAATTATTTTGGTCAAATTTTATCATATATTTAAAAACCTAATGTGAATAATAACTATAAAAATAAAATTTTATTGTTTCATTAATTAAAATGAATTTATTTTAGCTTAAACTATCTAAATCAAAAAAAAAAAAAATTAAGTAGTTGAGTAATTTGTTAAAATAAATAATTGACTATTCAATTTACGTCCAAGTTAATATTGACCCGTAAGTTATGAATAATTACTTATTTGACTTTAAAATTTTATGTTCGCGATCGGAATCGTTCAACGGTTAATGCGAGATTAGGAATGGTGAAAACGAGTAAAGGAAAAGATTTAAGAAAGCAATAAGCCTTTATAGCCTTAATTACGAAGTCAGCCTCTAAAGTTGATGTCGGCTTTTCTTACACTTGGAAGTCGGGATTAATCACAATATTTATTACAGAGTAAATGTAGAGAGTGAAAATGTTGGCAGAGTTTTCAACCATCCCTAATAAATGAGGGGGCTTCCTATTTATAGTAACATAAATCTGACACTATTAATCTACTGTTCACCCTGTCACTTCGTACAGTAACTAGGGATAACAGATCGGTGCCGCCCTGACGAGCATTAAATGAGGTCTAGGTTGATCTAATAATTACCTACAAGACATTAAATGCGCACATGTGAGACATTTAATGTTGATAAGCCGCCCTTCAATCTAGGTACACTAGAGTGGTGCGTCCCATCAGCAATCATCACTTGACAAGGGACAATATTATATAATTTACTGGTCCTATGCGTGTGCCAGGGACCGACCTTGACGAGTTTTAAGGTCGGACTTTCTCAATGACTTCTAATCTTCGGGGGTCCCCTCTCCCGGTAACGCGGCTATGAAGGTCGACATAATCTGTAGGGCTACTAAGTGCCGATCTGGGAAGGTGTTCTACGCGCTATTCCTGACAACATTACTTTTCTTTGAGTCCAGATTTCCAGTTACTCAAATGCCGGTCTGGCTTCTGGGTCATCTTCGTCTGGTTCACTGTCCTTGGTCTGTGGATTTTACGCGGTCCAACTTGGATATCAACATTTTCGAAAACAACAAATATTTTTTTTTTCATGAAACAATTAATATTTTTAAAAAATCCAAACTTATATCACTACAAAAAAAAAATAAATAAATAAATTGTTATATTCCAATGGGAAATCCTACAATAGGAAATTCCAACGGTTATTTCTATGGTATAGCTACCGTTTGAATCATTCAACAGAAATTCCAATGAAAATATTCCGTTGGAATGAGATTTCCGTTGAAATTTAGATGAAATTTAATGATTCCAACGATTATTTTTCCAACGTTTTTTTTTACTGTTGGAATATGCAAATTCTGTTGAAATTTTTATTTCCACCCCCATTGGAAATTTTACTGTTGGAATTTTCAAAATCCAACGAAAATTCCAATGAAAAACTCATTCCAACGGAATATTTTTGTTGGAATTTTCGTTGGAATTCCATTAAAATTTATTTGTATTGGAACTTTCCGTCGGAATAAATCGATATTTTGCAAATCTCGCAATTTTTTGATTTGTTCTCGATTAGTAGCTCTTCTTCCAATCGACTGGAGTAGAGGGGACAGGCTTTGAACTACAGCTCTCACTTATCGGTCAAAATATCGACTAATTCTCTATAATTAAATTACAATTTTTTAAAATTTTATTTACAAATATTTGTTCAAAAATTTTTATGATTTTCAAGAGGAATACAATCCAATTTGTCGAATTATCATCAATATTTCATGAAAAGTTATTTATGCTAAAAATTTTAGAACCATATGACCTTGATTTTATATCAGATCAACCTAAAATTTGAATTTCATACCATTTAAATTCGGACATTGCATAACAAAATAAATTTGGTAATTTGATTTATTCAAAATGTGGTAAAAAGAAAATTCATTTATAAACATGTTTCCATAAGGAAAAAAAAAAAAAAAAATCTATGAACGTTCAAAGAGATTAGAATCTTTTGTCCATATCAAACAAATTGACCTAAATTAATCAGTGAATTTACCAAGGGAAGATAATTTATTTTAGTATTACATTTTCAGAAAGAATCAAAATCTAGTTGACACATAATTATATGATTAATATTTTGTGAATGTTTAGGTGAAAAATTAAATTGAAAATTTCCATTTTTAGTAAATCAATTTTTTTGGCGGGAAAACCATATTATTTCAGGTAAATACACAATTTTTAATATATTTATATAGATATAGAAATGGAGAGAAATACAAAAGGATTTTGTCAAAAAAAAAATATAATAATAATAATAATAATAATAATAATAATAATAATAATAATAATAATAATAATAATAATAATAATAATAATAATAATAATAATAATAATAATACAAAGAATTTTTTTTATGCAACACCATTCGCTTTTCATAATTTATTGAAAATTCGTGACACATACAATGATACATGGAAATAGTATCAATCATTAAAGATTTAAATATTTTCTAGTGGTTTTCAAGTTTCCTAGTATCTCATTTTCCAGTTTTGTTATGGAACCATCGGATGACTCGACTTATAGAGTCATCTACACTTATTCACCAATCGTGTATTGACACGAGTCCTACAATAAATACAATTTGGACATGTGTCAACAAATTAATTAGTTGATGGCTCTATAAGAAAACCATCCGACGACTCAATAAATTTTTTATCTCATTTTCAAAGCACAAATTAGTGTACATTTAATGCAGGCAATGATCATAATTAATGAATGTTGAACTCATTCCATTTGCAAAATAAAACTTTTGGCAGTTGTAAAATTCACCCAACCACATTGCACAAAGTAGTGATCAGATCAACACAATAAAATCTACCGCGCAGTTTCTCAATCATCTGCTATATCATGCTTTATGTGGCGGACGAGCACGGGGATGGTGAGCTCTGGTGCGCTGAGGTGCGGCAGGTGGCCCTCGGTTGGGATCAATTCTACAACAGATTTACCACCCAAGTTCTTGTGGAGATACTCAGCTACAGCCACGGGCACCAACATGTCCTTGGAGCTCTGGATGATGTGGCACGGGACTACGATGAGGCCCAAGTAAGGCCTCAGGTCAAGGCCCGATATCATACGACAAATACTCAAAGCAATGTCGGGCCTCATGTTGAAGAGTGTGCGACTGAACTCCTGAATGGCCTCCGACTCCAAGTCACCGCCCACCACTATCGGTGCAAAACCCATCATCATCGTCTTGAAGTTCTCTTCCATGGCAGTGTTCATTTGGTTGATCTCTTCCTGCTCAAACCCTCCGTAATAGTCTTCTGTGTTTGTTACCCTAATCAAACGAGTTGGCCAAAACCAACAGCTTTCAATGTCAAACGATTGGTTCATATACAATATCATAAAACTACCAAATATATATTAAATTCAAGGATCTCATCCAAATACAACGAATGTGACATAAAAAAAAAATAAAAATAAAAATAAAAATAAAATAGAAAAAATTAGAATCATTAATTTGTTAAATCAAGTATTGTCAATGCAATTGTTTGATATATTGGCTAATTATTCATACAACATCTATTTCAATATTTGTTCAACTAAGATTATTTATTTGTACCAAAAAAAAAAAAAGAACAGAAAAACTAAGATTATTTATCTCTATTTTTTAGTTCAATTCCTTCTCCTAATTTCATATGTTATTATTTATTTATTTATTTTGATTTTTTTTATCCCATCCATATATATATATAGCATTTCATTTTTAGGAGTTGAGGTAGATTCTATTCAAATATGTATGAATTCAATTATTGTACTTTTATTTTCTTTAACTGGGTAATTATAATTAATTATCTCTGATATAAAACAGAAAAATTGCGAACATAAAACGCTAAGGAATTTCACCCGCCCATTAAGGATGTACTTGATTCGCTTTGAATGAGATCTGATTAACTGAGAGATTTTGTATAATAAGCATGGTTTAGAAAACCAGGCGGGAGTGGACGGTCCGACCGGTTAGACCGAGAACCAGTCAGTTGACCGGTTCAATTCGCTAGAACGAACCAGTTGCCAGCGAACCTATAAGAAAACTTGTCAAAACTAGTCCTTGGACCAGTTTGAACGAGTAATTTATATATTAAAAAAAATAGAAAAACATGTGGACAAAAAAAAAAAAAAAAGTGAGTGGACAACAATAAAAATGACAGTATTTAAGGAATACGTTTTCTATACAATTTGTATAGAAAACGTATTCCTTAAATATATTTTTTCAGATTTTTTTACAAAAGAAAACGTATTCAGTGAATACGTTTTACAATTAAAAAAATGCTAAAATGTATTCACTGAATACGGGGTTTTTATTTTGGTCCATTCTCATTTGTTTGTGTATTTTTTTTTCCACAACTTAATTTTTTTTTTAATTTTCTGGTAAAAAATTCCAGTTTGAACTGGTCCATTTTTTAAAAGAAAAAATAACTTTTGATATGTCTAAAAATATTTTTAATATAAATATTTTGAAAATGAAATATTGGTCCAATCTTTTCAACAACTTGTGGATCGGTGAACTACTAAACCAGTAGTTTGACCTGTTCTATGATCGGTCAGATTTTCAGAATCTTGATAATAAGAGACCATTCAGTGATTATCAAACGACAAGACCTTGGATATATGG